TTTTTTTTTTTTTTTTTTTGTAGGTTTCTAAAAATATTTTCTTTTAATTTATTTTGAGAGAGAGAGAGAGAGAGAGAGAGAGAGAGAGAGAGAGCGTGCAGGAGGAGAAGCAGAGAGACAGAAAAGAGAGAGAATCCCAAGCAAGTTCTGAGGCCATCAGAGCAGAGTCTGATGCGGAGCTCGATCCCACCAGCTGTGAGATCACGACCTGAGCCGAAATCAAGAGTCAGACCCTTAACCGACCGAGCCACCCAGGTGTCCCCAAAATGGCAAATCTTTTGCATCACTGTTCAGTAGAACTCTCTGTGATGCAGGAAATGACGTGGAGTGTGTTGGCTCTTGGATATGGCCGACCCTCTAACGATAGTGGATAATCACGTGTGTCAGCCTCAAGGCGACGTCCCAGACGAAGAGAAAGAAAATGGTGGGCTTCACAGCTTCTTTAATTGCTGGCTCTGTGGCCTTGGGCATTGGATTGAACTTTTTTGAGCCATCATTTTCTCATTTGTAAAATGGGAGGATAAAATTGTAATCCTTAGCACAGATCTCCTCACCTCAAATGAATGGGATTTCGCCCCCCCCCCTTGTGGGGGGGCGGGGGATAACCTGGGGTGAAAATTAAGTGATAGGACTGGAATTAAGTAATTTGGGAAAAAGCCTTGGAAAATTTGCTCCTTTCCCTTGCCTGTTGGATAACTCTGGTTGAGCAGAGTAATCTGCGGGGCCCAGTAAATTTTGACTGCATCCTTCACATGAGGTACTTTCAGTCAACAGCCCTCCGGTTTCAGGAGAACTTAGGCCGGAGGTCTAAAGTCTGAATGCCCGGCTTCAGATCTCAGCGAGACCATTTTATCCAGTATGTGATTACCATCCATTCCGGGATCCACAAATAGTTACCACGCTGTCATTGGGTGCCAGAATTTATCACAGAGCCGGGATATTCTGCAGGGACACAGCCAAGGAGCTCCTTTCTTATAGGCTCACTAGTAGAGGAGACAGCCAACAAAGAAACCAACCAATCCACAGGATGATTTCAGATCACGCTGAGGACCATGAAAACAAGAACACAGAATAACGTGATGCAGGAAAATTACTACGTTAGCGTTGTCAGGAAGGGGCTACTTGAGGAAATGACACTTAATCTGTGATGGGAATGATAAGGAGTTAGTCTTGGGAATATCTGGGAAAAGAACGTTCCAGACAGACAGCCAAATAAGTGCTAATGCCCTGTGGCAGGAGTATGCCTTGTTTAAGATACATGGCACAACTTTTTTTTTTCACTATTGCACTCTTAAGGATCCTCTCTAGACATTTCCCCCCCTAGCGCTCTCTTTCTCCGTGAAATTTTGATAACACAGATATATTGTATTCCTGTTGGGTGGAGTTGAGCTTTGGAGGGCCACAAACTAGCGCAATGTCTATGGGGTTTTCTTTGTTTTGTTTTTTGTCCCTCAAGAGCCAAGGTTCACTCCCTTGGGAGTGACGACTCATCACTTCTCAGTGATGAGACTCAGAGATTTCAACAGTTTAAGAAAAAGAAAAAAAAATGGCAGCAAGTGTGGCTGGAGCTTGGCCACCAAAAGGAAAAGGACAGGGGAGACAAGGTCACAGAGTTCATCAGTGGTTCTCGAAGTGTGGTCCCTACCATCCAGAGCTTGTTAGAAATGCAGAGTGGCGCTCAGCCATCTGCTTTAGCAAGCCCTCCAGGTCACTCGGATACACGCAGAAGTCTGAAAAACACTGGGCTGTGTCATTGACTTCACTGTGGGCTGTCGTAAGGAACACGGGCTTTATTTTAAACGCAAGGGAAGGCTATTGGAGGCTTTTAGGTATAGGGGAGACATGATCTGGGGACACCTATACAAGAAAAATCTGGTTACTATGAGATTAGGGCAGAGAGGGACAAAAGAGGAAGAAAGAGAAACAAGTCCTCTGGTTGTTATCTGTTAAATGGAGATATGAATATGACCAACTTCATAAGGTTAGTTGTGAGGAATAAATGAATGAATACATGTAAGGCACTTAGCACAGAGCTTGGCACACAGTCTGCACCCAATGCCTATTAAAACTATTGTTTTGCCTCTTACTTCTCTCTTATAAACACCTACTGGTTAGTATCCAAATACAGATGCCCCACCCCCTTGAGATCCCTCTGGTTTTTTTGGCCAGTGTTGCTAATTCAGGTGCTGGTGGGCTGGTAAAGTATCTCTTGGGCTAGTAAATCTGTAACATGTTTACAGGCTGCTTCAGGTCATGGGGAAGATCCATGGTGTTCTATTTAGTTTTGTTTTGTTTTGTTTTTCCCTATGAAATCTAACTTTTGGCCTAGACAATGAAACTTAATGTAAAACCCAAGCATGAGAATCGGTTCTATCATTAACGTTGGATGTTTTTCTGTAAAATAAGAAGTGCCCTGCGCGGGGAGGCAACATGGTGTAGGGTGAAGCCTGGGTGGGCTTGGACATTGGATGCCAGCCCTGACTCTGCCGGTCGGACCTTGGGCAGTCGTGTTTTGCCCCAGTAAATCGGTTTCTTTATCTGAAAAGTATGGAGAGTAACAGAACCTGGCTACCTCATGGATCTGAGGCTGAAACACCAGAATGCACGGGAAGCGACCAACACAGCATCAGCCACAAAGTGTGAGCCATGATGATGATGATGATGATGATGATGATTGAACCAGCCACAGGGGCAACGTGGCTGTGTGGACCCTTAAGGAACACTGTAGTTCTGCAAGCCCCAGGAAAGGCAGAAAACATGTTTGGCTTGGAAAAGACACCAATGGGACAGGTGGCTGACACACATAAACATCCTCAAGCAGGTTGTTTTCTATTCATAAGAGTAAGCAGATCTGAAATAATTTAGTCAGCTCAGGAGAACTCCCCTGGATTTCTTTACATTATAGGCTCCCGAGAGGGTCTTTATGGTGGGAGTGGGGGGGGGGGGTTAACTTCAGAACTGATCAAATTCAGTCAGAAGAAAGCTCCCCTCCCTTACGCAGTCCACCTGGCCTTGCCCCTACTACCCTCCCCCCACCCCCCGCCCCACTTCCTGCCTAGTCTTCCCTCCCTCTTTGGGCTCCAGCCACCTGGTTCTCTCCTAGTTTTTCTTCTGTGTGATATTCTTCCCACCTCAAAGCACAAGAGAGGGTGGCAAGTGCCCATCTAATGCCATTTATCCTTAAAAACATAGACTAAAAGTCATTTTATCGTAGTAGAAGCCATTGTGTCGTTGTTACCATTAAAGACTCGGGACTCACACTGCTTGAGGCTCAAATCCTAATTTAGCTAATTTGCTAACGGCATGGCCACGAGCAAAGGACCTCATCTCTCTGTTACTCATTTTCCTGATCTGTGTGATGGATACAATAGTGGTGTCTTGCTCTGGGTTTAAATGAGCTGGTGCATATAGCGTGTCTGGAATAGCTCCTGGCTCTGTCACTGATACGGTGTTACTTTTTCTTTTCGCTCTCTGTACTTCTCTTTGTAGTACTTTTTACAGTTGTGATTAAATAACGATGTACTTTGTTTCTGGTGTCTTTCTCCAGGGACCCTGTCCGCCTCTTAATCTCTCTTTCTTAGCTTGTAGCATTCGCCCTGAAAAGGCACTGTGCTTTTCAGCAGAGAGGGAGAGGGAGAGAATCCCAAGCAGGATCCGAGCTGTCAGCACAGAACCCAATGTGGGGCTCGAACTCACAAACCGTGAGATCATGACCTGAGCCGAAACCAAGGAAGAGTCCGTGGCTTAACCAACTGAGCCACAAAGACGCCCCGATGAGTAGTTTATTTTAAAAAGAAGGAAAAGAGGATGATGCAAAGCAGGATTTGTGGGTGTGTAGGAGCTCAGTACTTGTTCTAATAAAGAGGGGTGCTTGCAGCTTGAGGTGGGCGCTTGGGGACGTGCACGGTTTCCGCAAACAACGTTCAGTTACTCTACGTCGAACTGCCAAATCTGATTTTCAGATGAATCCCTGAAGCCAGATGGCTGTTCTACTGGTGAACAGAGCAATTACCTTC